TGTTCTGCTTCTGAGGGTATACAAATAAGATTCAGTCATAGCCTTCAAGGGGCTCACAATCCGGGTTTCACTCATGCAAGAACAGAGGAAAGTACTAGGTGCATCTGTGGGCAAAACTGAGGGAAACAGGGCTGATTAAACTCGGTGTCAGGAAGGCTCCACAGTGATGGTGTTTTAAGTTTTTAAAGATTTTATTTATTAATCTGACAGAGAGAGACACAGAGAGAGAGAGAGGGAACACAAGCAGGGGTAGTGGGAGAAGGAGAAGCAGGCTTCCCGCTGAGCAGGGAGCCCGACATGGGGCTCGATCCCAGGACCCTAAGATCATGACCTGAGCTGAAGGCAGATGCTTATCGACTGAGCCACCCAGCTGCCCCTTAAGTCTTTTAAAACAGAAAATGCATACTGAGAGAAGAATTATATCACCAGAAAAGAGACACTAAATACTTCCCAGATGCAAAACAACCTGGGACCTTGAGAAAAGCCTAAGGATTCCAGTAAGGACCAGGAGTTTGAGAAACATTATGGGTCTTGTCAACAATTTACTGGGTACTTTATGCTCTTCCCCTCAAGTGTTCTTTAACTTCCGGGTGACTTCTAAATAGCAGATGAAAATATTATTATAAAGTCCATTTAAATAAACCTACTATATGAAAAAGTTCTCTCTTCCCAGTTTGTTGAAATGAGAGAGTCATAATATTTATTTCATCAAGAGGGTGTGAAGCTTAGTTGGGATTAATTTCCTTCATTACTCCTTCCAGAGTACTGAAAAATTTATATAATCCCATATGTGGTTCATAGGAACGGACTTCACGATGACTTGATGAGAAATAGTATGAATATTTCATCAAATTTTTCCATCATTCTTTCACATATAACCGCCCTCACTCCACCTTTTCCAGCCCCTCATGATGGCGCACCAGGTCACTGCCAGCGCCTCCTGAAGGAAGGCTTCAGCCAATCCATTACATGTGCTGCTGCCTCATCAAACACCCCAGAACCTTCCTTTGCAGTGGGGCCCGCCCTCCCCTCCACTCTCACTAGACCCACCACGCGCATGGCGTGGGTATGGTCCACACATTCCCCTCTTTCCCCAGGTCGATTGTGAATGTACGTCTTCAGGGCATCGACTTACTCATATTTTTAATCCCTGGCATCTTACATGGTCACTAGCAGAGAAGAGCTGAGCAAATAAAGCCTTGTCAAGTGACTGAGGGCGTAAACGCTCTGCTCTGGTGACAAGGCCAGAATCAAGCTGTCTTCAGAACATGGGACCTGCCCTCCCATTTGTCTTCTTTTCCCGTTCCTCCTCACCCTGCATTTTCCCTTTCCTCTCTCAGTAATATACATTTATCTATGTAGGGCAGTGGTTTTCCGCCTTGGCTCCCAGCGGGAAGCTTTACAAATAAACACAGGTGCCCGGCCCACCAACACACGTTTTGATTTAATGGGGCGGGGGTGGGGGGGGCTCTGGCGTTGGTATTTTGCAAATGCCCCTGTGATGAGTCTAAAAAGCAGCCAGGCTTGAGAGACACTGATTGAAAGTGATAACTCGGGCTGCCTGGGCAGCTCAGTGGGTTAAGCCTCTGCCTTCAGCTAGGTCATGATACCAGGGTCCTGGGATCAAGTCCCACATCAGGCTCTCTGCTGGCGGGGAGCCTGCTTCCTCCTCTCTCTCTCTACTTGTGATCTCTCTCTCTGTCAAATAAATAAAATCTTAAAAAAAAAATAAAGTGATAATTTAAGCCTTGTCTTTTAAAAAGGCTAATGGGCCTCTGGTGAGTTTACCTTGCTCTGGTTTCAAAGCAGGTACCATCTCAACCAGTTATTAGGTAACAAATCTGACACCACGCTTGACTAGTAGTTTGTTCTTTGACTTGTGCACTTCATTTTGATTATTTATGAGTGTAAACACACATGTACCATCTCTCACACTCGACCAGAAGAACCTCGAAGGCAGGAACTCTGTCGTCTACTACTTTGCATCCCCAAGCCATGTACAGCGTGGACCAAAAACACATTTTTGATTACAAAAAAAAAAAAAAAAAAAATCCAAAATACTGAAAGAGGAGGAAAAAATAACCCTGGTAGAGACCATTTTAATTCCACTTTAAGGACACATCTTTGGTAAGAATAAAAATGTTGCACAAAGGGTGGGGCAGGTTTGAAACAGACTAGAGAAAGAGTAAATAAAAGTCAAATGGAAAAAAAACTAAATTAGTCCAAAAGAAAATGTTTCCCAGCTTCTTAAGAGGGTTTTTGCAAACACTGAAGCAGAATAAACAAGAGCATTAACTTGGCTTGTGCCCTGATAAGGAGATTTCTTTCCTGATTATATAATTTTACAAAGTTTCCAGGGTGTAAAGAAAATAATCAGCCAGCGAGGACTCCTTCCCTTGGACTATACAATTCAGCTCTTGGTTTAATCGGCTCGCAGAGCTGCTCAGCTTGACCTGACCTCCTTCCAGCCCTGTGATCTCAGACTAAGCCTCACATTCAACAGCCCTGGCGTAGAGCTCAATGTCATAGAAACGGGATAAAACATAATCCTCATTCCATGTCCTTGATCCCTTGGTGTAGTGGCCTCTGTGCACTGGTGGGGGTGGGGAGAGCTATACCTGATATCTTTTCCTGGCAGTTGGTGTTCCAGAGATCTGGCGATACTAGAATGTTGGCATGTTTTCCTACTTAGTAGGAAAACTACTATAAGGAAGTATTGCTTGGAACAACTACCTTAAAGACTAGCTTAAGGTACTTTTTTGTGCACATATCCCAGAAAAGGTTTATCTTCATATGGCTTCTCTACTTTGTCAAGAAGTAAGAACACAGGAAAAGCTCAGTGAATCACGATGCATGTCCTCTGCCAAAGCGAGATAAGTTCATCAGATAGAGACATGTTTTCTACATCAAATTTCATCCTAGTTATTAGGCCACAAATTGAAACACTGGTCCCAAAAGGCACACACACTTCTATAGATTAATTAAGTGCAGTTCTTCTGCTTGGGTTGGCCATTTTAACACTGGTCATATTTTACTTTGCTACAGCATTTTATTATACTTTACTATTTTATTTACATATTTCACTAATTAGTGTTTGAAAACATGATTCAAAAGCATTTAACTCTGCTCTTGATTGATTAGCAATGATAGTAACATGTTGTCCTTTGTAGGTTAAGATAACATCACTGACTCATTTGATAGGATATGAGTTGATAAACTGTCACTGATCTATCCATGCTGTGCTCCTCATTCCTCTTGTGACTAGTGGCCTGTGTTTGACCCTGTGAGCCAAGAACCAAGAGCCACCAGAATCCTGCAGTTACCAAAGAGACATAAAATAATAGCGTTTGTCCTACTAGCTATTTCCTATGAATGTCTAAAAAATGGAAATGACCGGCTAATTTATTAAAACAAAAGGAAAAGAAAATATGGCACTAACTTCTTTATATACTAACAAATGCTATCTGGAATTGGTAAAACAAGGATCTGGGAGTCTGGAGTCCATGCTATTATATATAACAGACTATATCACAAAATCAGTGTGCACTACCCATTTTCAAGGAATGCGATTGAAGATCCATGAAAATGAATGGATCCACACTGATTCACAAGGAATTTTGCTTCCTCAAATAAGAGTTTAGGTAGTAGTGCCTGACAGCTGCAAATTGGGTTTACTTAACATAATTTATAACCTCGGGTATAAAACAAAGGTCACTGGGTTCTACAGGAACATCTCTGGCTCTGAAAAGAGAAGTAATGGATTCAGAACCCAGGATACTTGAATCATCGGGGAAAAGGTATCACTGAGGTAATGAGCACGCCAGGGCCTGAAAACTTAAGAATGTTCCCCTAAACGAAAACAAGCAGCTCCATCTTCTCAGAACATGGCTGACTCAATCATCAAGCTGGAATGTTATTTACACAGTCCCAAGCAAACCAAGAAGAATCCTCTGGTCTGTAACCAAGGGTACTCGGAAAGTTATGTCTGGAACAGGCAAAGGCTCATGTCTGTTTCTGATGATTCCTGACTCCTTGGAAGACAGCCAATTTACCTAATGCAGGTGAAGGGCAACAGCTCCCCGCCACCTCCCCCAGAAAGGACCACCAGCATGATATTTCATGCCTCTTTAGTGAATAACCTGGACTGTAACACATTTAGCAAGATGGGCAAATCTGGATTCTGAATTTTGCCCCATCCAACAAATCACAACAATCACCCTATCTTCTTCTTCCTCCTGCTTGTGGGAGAGGTTATGATGGAACCTGGTCCACACAACAGAATAAAGTTGATGTTAGGCATCGGGAAAAATGAATTCCCTAATTACGAAACATTTTACCAAAGGTGTCAGACTGTGGTGTTCCTTTCTTTGAATGAAAAAAAGGGTTGTAGAAAGTTAAACTTTCTGGATGGAACGTGGAGGGGTGGGGAGACAGTTCTCATTTGAGGCCAGGATAGAAACCATCAACAGGGAGCTCTGAAAGAGCTGTCATCCTTTTGGGGGTCTCTCCAGCAAATTCTGGTACTTGAACTTACTGGCTTATGAGTTAGTGCACAAGTACCTATGGTCTGGGGAATAGTTTATCACATGGCAGGATCTGTCTGGGCTATGGTTTTCAAAGCATATTAACCTCAAGAAAAAGCATTGTCACTATTTAATTTGTCCAAGAATTATCTAGTCCTCAACAAATACCAGCTATTTGGACAGTTTGAGATCCCTAGAGGGTGGACCGTGGTCATTTCCAAGCCATTGGCAAATATCAAGAGGCATGCTAACTCTATGGGCTTTATTCTTACACATTTTTTCCTGTGAGTGACTGATTTCCCACTTCATTATAACTGCTATTGGGGCAGGCAGGGATGCTCATTTCTTTACCTGCCCCGATGGTGTTGGCCCAGGACAGAAAATGTGGCCAATGCTTTCAGGAGATGAACACTCAGACTGCTAAGTACATCTTGTTCTCTAAACTCAACAGTCAGAAAACATTGTCAAAGAACTCACCTGTCTTCTCTCTGAACCAAGGGACTGGAGAATCAGCCGGGTGTTCACACTGTGACTCCAGGTGTTTCCTAGGGCAGCTGTCACACAGCTGGATCCAGAAGTGCCTGAAATGAAACAGGGCAAAACCATGACTATGAATGCCCATTTCTTATAATGGTGTTTCCCATAAACAAAAGTCCAGTCACTGCTCATTGCTTAGAGACTCCTGGGGACTCAGTTCATTACCACAAAAGTTGACAAATTAGAGAAGAAGGACAGGGTTAAGAACATGAGACTAAAAATAAAAACCAGCATGAGTTTCCTTTAGCCTCAGTGAAAGGGACCACCACTAGGCTAAAAGATAACAGAGTTATATATCAATAAGAGCTTGCATGCAAGGCAGCTTAGAGCCATTGCTAATAAAAAATTGAGCCACTCAACATCCATGGCAGAAAGGCATAATGCTACTCCATAGAATGAGAGCCAGTTATGAAACAGTCTTAGTTTAATAGAGTTGTATGGCTTGTTTAGCTTGATAAGAGTCTTAACTCAATTTTCCTAATCAATATAGAAACAGTAGCGTATGTATATAAAATTCCTTTACCCTTCCAATCCTTGCATACACACACCCAGAAGAGGAATACGAAAGATCTAACCATTTCATATCTAATCTGTATTAGACAGCCTTATCCCCAGAGAAACATTCTTTCACCTTCTAAGACTTTCCTGTAAGGGGAGGGATCTGAAGGATCCATCCGAATTTCCAGTCTACTCCAAGTTGTGCTTCACCTACTACCTTCCATCTCCACAGCCTCGCTGATCCCTCTTGACATCACCAGGAGGAAACTCTTCCTTCTCTCCTCCTCTTCTTTCTCCTTAGAGGCAGGCTCACTAGTCCCACCACTTAGAAGCCTGCCCACCCACCCTCCCCTCATATCTGGCCCATTCTGAGGACTCCTCTTTGGCCCTGAGAGGAATCCTAGCCCTATAGGGAGCACAGTAGGATATTCATTGTGCTTTGTAATCTCAAGATGCTGTCTCTTTGCGATGAGGAGACTAAATACAGAGAGGCTGAAGCCCACCAGATTAGTAGATAAAACAACATGAGGCCTTGAGCTTCTCATTCATTGCCTGCTTACTGCATCCTCTGATTTTCACCCCTCAGTCCAGAGTATTGGTCTTCTTCTCTTTTCTGGACCTGTCATCTTTCAGGGTGGTCTACCAACTCTGCATGGCCTTTGCATGGCCTTTGCATGGCCGTACACTCCTGGGCCCAAATATTATAGCAGATGAATGTGGGTCAGTGGTTCTAGGCTGGAGGTGATTTGTTGGCAATGTCTAAGTGGGAGGGCTACTGGCATTTGGCGGAGGGGGCGGGGGACGGTGATGCTGCTGAACACCCACGCACAGGACAGGCTCTCAACAAGGAATTATCCAGCCCCGAACATGAGAGTGCTGAGGTTGAATGCCCCTGGGTTAGACAATACCAACCATACATTTTCTCCGGCTCAAGCAGGTACAGGAATGAATTAGATAGGAATCAACAACTGGGACCACAACAAGCCTGGGGAGTTCCAGATGAAGAAGAATTTAGCATTGGAAAGAATAAAATTTAGGGTGACTGTAGTGTATCATGCACATCACTCAAAACACACACAAATTAATCTGAAAACAAATTATCTAGACCATGCTCATAGGATCACACCACTCCCTTGCTCAAACTCCTCCAGCAGCCCTCCGTGCTGAGGACAAATACTAACTCCCGAACAATGCATCTGGGGCACTTTGTCATCTGCTCCCAAGTCTCTCTCCGGCCCCACTGCTCTAAGCTTTCTCACTGGATGGTCTCCTGTAACCTCCTGACTTCTCTGTCCCCATCCTCCTTGACCTCTTGGCAACCGCTGATAAAGCTCCCCCCCCCCTTTTGGCATCTAAGATCTGCTTCTTCTGCTTCTTCTGGATCTTGATGAGTGTTCTTTTCCTTCTCTGCTTTTCTTCTCCTTCTCTTCCTAGTTATGGGTGGACTGCAGGGGGCTGACAGTGACCGATTTTTCTCCTATCACCCAAGTGCCTAGGAAGGTAATGTGCATTTAGTAAAGAGGCCAGGTGTTTGCATCTTAAAATGCAGGAATCCTTTATTGCTGCAAAGAGATATAATTTCTTCCATTTTTCTTAAAATACACATCCCTCTTGTCTCCCAACTTCCCCTTTTTGATAGAGACATATTGATAAAGAAATATTTTCTGTTATAAGAAAACCAACCCTGGAAAGGCAATAGCAACTGATTTTTCTTCTCTTTTCTTTTTTCATTTTCGCATTTTTATATAACAGCTTTTTTGAGATAATTCACACATCATACAATCCACCCAAAGTGTACAGTCCAATGGTTTTTACTATATTCAGAGTTGTTCAAGCATTACCACAATTGGCTTTAGAACACTTCATCACCTCAAAAAGAAACTCCATGTGCCTTAGCCATATAAGCCTCAAGCCCCTCTCTGTGCCCCCCAGCCCTAGGCAACCATTACTCTACTTTGTGTTTAATATGAACTGTTAGGAGATAGACAGGGAGTAGTGGAGACTGTGGAGAATGAGCACATCTATCCATGATCACAAGGGGCAGACCTTGGCTGCTCCGGCTAGTGCTGTCGTGTGACAAAATGAGTTCAGAGTCAACCACATCTTTTGACTTTGAAAAAAGAGAAGCCAGAAGGAAGTCAATGTTTAAGTACAATCCTCTTGACTTAATTTAACAATTTCTAAAAATGCACAAATGAACATACTTAGGAGCCGCCTATCACTCATTCCCACAAAGCTTGCAACGTCTGCTGCATATGGCATGTCCTCACTGTTGACAAGGCCAACACCATGACCTGGGTGATTTTGAAGCCTTGACTCAACCTACAACCTGCCTTAGCACTTGTCCTCCATTTTCAACAACAAGAACTACAAGTCTGACCTAATGAATTTCAGCACCATAAACTGAATATCTTCAAATCAAGCTTATGTCTTCCCACATAACTCTCTCTTCCTTCTTTGTCCCTTTCTTTGGCCTTCTAGTTAATCTGGTTCAGAACCTCAGTTCCACTTTTAAATTTCTCCTTCTCCCATGCTTCTCAGTTCCAATAAATTGTGACGTTCTATTGACTGAACTATAAAACCTCACCTATATCTTTTCCCTTACCCTCTGTTCCTCCTACCCCAACCTTAGATCAGACCCTCATTAGCTTTCACCTGGGGGTGGCTGCTAGAACTTCCTGATGTCCATGCTGCTGTCAGTTCCTAAAGTCCATTCTCTTTTCTGCCTGATTAACCTCCCCAACCACACATTTAAGCACACTCCCCTGCCACTTCTGACCAAGTGTGCTCGAAAACTTTCAGCAACTCCCAAGTGCATCCAAAGAGCTCTAAATTCCTCAGACTGGCATTCAGAGTTCTTCTAGTCTGTGCCCAACCTGCCTTTCCACACGGCTCCCTCCATTCCACTTCAACATAATCACTTCTTCCCCACGTCCCTTCCCCACCTGAAATCCCTCTAGGTCCACACATTATCGTCGATACCACCTCCTGCGTGGCACTTCCTTGGCCCTCACAGACATACTGTCTTCCTCCTCTAAATTCCCATAATGCTTTATTTCCCTCTCTCACATTACACCATTTTCTCTCCTGTGGTATATTCCCTGTGTGTGCTTTTCTTAATACCCCTAATACATATCTTAAGAGGGTCAAATCCATGTCTGATTTATGCTAGTCCAAATCACTTAATTTATGCCTCGATCATTCTGCGTCACTGACACACAGAAGACACTTAATAAATCCTGATTAAATAGTTGCTAAGTTATTCCTACTAAACTTTGAACTATGTTACATATATTTGTTTTAGCAGATTTACATTCTTAATTCTATCTTGCTTAATCTAAAATTAATACCATGTTCACATTTTTTTTAAAGATTTTATTTATTAATTTGACAGAGCTCACAAGTAGGCAGAGAGGCAGGCAGAGAGAGAGAGGAAGGGAAGCGGGCTCCCCGCTGAGCAGAGAGCCCAATGCCGGGCTCAATCCCAGGACCCTGGGATCATGACCTGAGCCGAAGGCAGAGGCTTTAACCCACTGAGCCACCCAGGTGCCCCCCATATTCACAATTTTCAAACAAACTTGTTAGAAGCTTGTTGCTTAGGTGCCTGCTAAGTGATAGGATGAAATAAGGCTGAGCTTTCAAGTTTGCCACAAAAAACTATATGTAGACTAATTAGGAGTTAATTAGTCAAGTGGTCAGAAAATATACATATTTTTTTAAATAATAAAATTATAGGCACTTCTCAGGTCTGGAAGATTTTTTCAGGATTTTCAGGAGTTTCAGGAGTCAAAACCATATGGCCAGTAGTGACTATTTAAAGAATGCCATGTCCCTAAAGCAATGAAAACAGTATAACAATGTACCCATGTACCCGGCTGCTCTCCGGGCGGGTAAGCTCAGGGCCTGACGAAAGGCCAGTGAGTGCAAATGACTACGGGAAAGCTTCTAATGGGAACCCTGAGTGAGCAGCTTGTGGAGGAGCGATTACAAACATGATGCCCCCACAAGAGCAGTAAGAGAGGGCCTTGAAAGCTAATGATAAGAAAAGACAATATTTTTAAAGTACTACAAGGAGGCCCTAGGTGAGCCTTTTATAGGAGGAGGGCTTACGTCCTGTTTGAGCTTCATCTGTTATATCTTTTTTTTTGATCCTCATGGAGGTAGGGAATATCTTCACCCCTATTGACAAACTAAAGCTGTGAGGGATTAAGGTCATTCTCCCAAGGGCGCGTGGTTGGTTAATGACAGGGTCGGGACTCAAAGCGGGCCGACTGTCTTTACCGCTACTCCAGTCAGCCTTCTCCAGGCTCCTTATGTCAAACAGCCCACAACCGTGTCAGCCCAGTTGACAGGGGGCCTCAGGAAGGGCCTGAAGAGAGATCCTGAAGGCCCGTCTCTGAGACGACACTGGTGCAGGCACAATGCGAGCATCTCATCACTCATCTGAATCTGTGTGTCACTCTGGCTCCACAACCAGCTTCCTCTGTTCTGATATACGCTGATAACTCAGGGCCAGGGGTTTCCAGAAAGATCAGTGCATGCCCTG